CGATACTTTAGAGATTGAGAGACTAGATCTAGGCGGCTAGAATTAGGGTATATACTCCAAACATTGTAGCCCCCCCCCCCCCTTCGATTAATCAATAAACATCTCTTTCTCTACTTGTTTCTCACGATTTCTCCTTGCTTCATACGAATCTCTTACTGGTAAGTCATCCAGGAAAAGTCAAATCACTGCCACAATTCGGTCAAATATAAAACGAACCCGTTTATCCTAGACGACTTAGTGGTTAGTCGTCTACGGTATTCTCTAGATTTTTTTTTAACAAACAAAGATAGACGACTTAGAAGTAAGTCGTCCGTTTGACCAGAAGGCTTACCAGTAAGTCTTCTACAGCCAGACGACTTATGGGTATGTCTTCTACAAGAACAGATCTGTCAAAAAATTTCAGTTTCATACCTTAAACTAGTGAGATGACTTCCTTAGCACACATAGTCTTCTCCAAGCATCCAAAACCTCAAACGAAAGTAACCCACCAAGAATAGTAAGCTTGAATGGCTCTATCAACCATAAAAAAAAATTGAATCAAAAGCTTCAGTGTTTTGGATGAATATGGAGACAAATTAAAAGAAATGTTGTTTTTAGCTCATAACAATTGAGAAAGAGAGAGTGTAAATCGATTTTAGGTGGATTAAGAGCTTCAAATTGGTTATTCATGGTGGTTAGGGTATTGATGGCGATGACAATCTTGTAAATATTTGAAGATGATGAGGTTGAGAGAATAAATAAACAATTTTCAAAAAAAAAATTAATGGCATTTTTTGTAAATACTGTGAACAGATGGGATGAATAGGATAAAAAAAAGTAAAAGAAAAATAAAAGGTTAATTTTATGTTTGACTTTGAGTTTTGACTCAAATTTGCAAAAAAAAAAAAACAGAGATAATTGTAGAATTACTAGGAACTGGGTCATATATTGATAAGCTCAACACAGTCTCTACTTTTTTTTTTCTTCTGCCTTCTCTCTAGAGGTCGCCACCGTGAATTTGTTTTCTGGCCGACTGAGTGGGCTCCCATAGCCACCATCAATCTGGATTTGTGTTTTTCTTTTTTTTTTTCTTGCTTTTTCAGTGAATGTATTTCTAAAAAGAAGAATGATCGTTTGTTCCTTCTATGGTTTTTAGTTTGGTGGTTTTGGTTCCGGGATGCGGAGGCTTATAAAGCTTCGTCGTTGTCGGTTTATGTCTCCGGGGGTAGAGGTGTTCATAGCCTTGCATCGTCGGCTCTCTGTTTTCTTGACTTTTTTCAGATGGTGGGTTATCTTCCTATGTTGATTTAGGTTTTGTCGGATGAGATCTCAAATTGATCGACTGATGCTCACCGATATAAAGTTAAAGTGATGAAGACAACGAGATGGAAGTTCTAGAGCCCTATAATCTTGTACTTGGCGGCTTAGTGGATTTTGGATGAGATCTCGATGAGGTTCAATGGACGCTCTCTTTGATGAAGCTTAGCCGTGGAAGGTGTATGCAGTTTCGGTGGGAATCCGGCGTACTGCCGATTGGTTTTCCAGCGTTGGAAAGGAGATGGGTTCTGCGGACAGTGTTAACCGAGGCATCTTCTCTCATGCCCCTATTTTTTTAAAGCTAATCTCTTATGGGCTCACAAGATCTCTTATACCCCTATTTCATTATTCTTGTTTTTGATCAAAACCCAAACCCCTAATTAAATCCTTCCTGATGTTCAAAACTAAACAAAAACCCCCCCCCCAATGGATTAGTGAACCCTTGGGCAAATATTTAAATTCTATAGTGATCAAATTTCGAAAAAAATATATTTTAAAATCGTTTTTAATCACATTTTGATGATTTTCGTGAAAATATGAAAATTTAATTTTTTGAATTTTGAAATATTTTTATAAAATTCTATAAATCAAATAAAAAATATTCACGTTTCCAGATTATTTTTATGATTTTTCGTTTGACATATAAAATTAAAAGAAAAAACGTGTCCTAGAAAGATTAGAGAATGAGAAATAGGGGCACTAGAGGAATTGCCTCGTGTTAACCTTGATGTTGAGATTTAAACACGTGTTTTCAACGTGTAGGTTTTGTTGGCTCTTTGTGTTTTGGGTCTGGCCATTTGGGTTTTTGTTTTTTAATTATCAGTTTAGTGTGGATATGGTTTTTTTGGTTGTAATATATAGGTTTGGGCTTGGTCCAGTTGGGCTTCGACCAATTAATAAAATTAGATGGCAAAAAAAAAAAAAAAAACTCAACACAATCTCCTACTCTTTCCGGTTTGTTGCCTACGCGACCTACACCTCTCTCTATGCATTATCTCCGTAATATTTAGCTTCTTTTATTCCATATGTATTGTGTTTTCCACAAGAGACAGATTATGTCACTATTACTAGTTTTGTCTCTTGTTTACTAAAAAGAAGTTACACTAATCACAACGCCATTTGTCCATGACTAAAACGAAGTACAATAATTGTCTTTTTGTCAAAAAAAATATTTAAAAGGTTGGTAAATATAGTAAAATGTGTATCATGATGTTTTCCCGATAACACAGGTATCAAAGATTTAGTGATCTTTTTAATTCTTGAGAAAGAAAGATTTAGTGATTAATCTTCGAACCACTACTGTTTTCCCGTGAATGATCACCTTGTTGAAGTTTTTGAACAATAATTTACGTTTTAAAATCATTTAATATAACCTCAACCTCAAGAATATTCAATTACTAAATATTAGAGCATTGATATGTCATGGATTTTATTCATTTTAATCATGATATATAAATGTTTAGAATATATTTATTATGATATAGAGTTTATTTAGAGTATTTAAAGGTTTAGGGACGATTAAAAGGAAAGTGGTGATTTTGGTGTTAGTTTTGTCTGTGTAGAGCTGCACAGACGCGTCATATGTCTAGTTATGGATAGAGACTTTCCCACTGTTAGATTTCGCTCATCTTTTGACACAGGATATAGGTTTGAGTCAGCTTTCCAATTCCACCGATTTGAGGTTAATCGGCATCATGTAGCAGAAGTTATGCTCGTTTTACTGGTGAGGCACGAAAGTGCAATCAGTTATTTCCAAGAACTATAGGACAATTGAGAGGCACGAAAGTGTAATCAATTAATGTAACCCGAACCTTGTTGAATTAGATAACTAGGTGCATACAAGAGTTGGTCTAGGAAACTAGTTGAATATAACCGATTAGGTCGTTAATGCTTGTCTAAAGATTCATCGATCGACGCTTTGGCCATAGCATCGATCAACACTCGATCCAAGTCAACAAGCGACAACTGAGATTTGACTTAGACATCTAATTAGTAAGTACATGCGACAGCTGGATTACTTACTTATTAAAATCGAGTTCTAGAACTGACTCTGTAAAACCTTTAGCATCATTGAATTGTAGTTTTAAATCTCTTAATTGATAAATCCCTAAGTCTAGCGCTTTTATCTTATTGTTTACAAACTTAAATTAATCGACCGAATAACTGTCTTGTTCATATATAGTTTATTGTGTGTCGACGTTCCATGTGGGTTCAATCCCTAAGTATTACAAACTGATCCTCTTATTTGTGAGAGTAAATAACTCATTGGATAATTTGAGTGATATCAAGCATCTCCAAAAGATACAATATAACTTCAAGTATGAAGTTTTTGATTTTTCAAAAGAGAATTTTAAAACTTAAAATTTGAAATTTTGAATATTGAAACTCCAAATATAGAGTGTCATTACTTAAAATTTCAAATTTGAAGTTTTATATTTTTATTTGCATTTTGGTTCTTACTGTTACACGCCATATTTAAAATTCTTAAATATTATGTTGTTTGTCGTTAATCCTTAAAAAAAAATTATCTCATAAATATTTCATAAGTTATCTCATAAATTTAAATTTTACACACAATTTTCTTATAAAAATAAAATTAAGATTTAAAATATTTTAAAACTAGAACTAGACAACAACAATATTACAAGATTTAATGTGATATTTTGTATGTAGTTTAATATTTAGTTATGTTTTTCTATTTCTATATATGATTTTATATTTTAGTGTAATATTTTATCAAATAATAATGCTATAATATTTTTATATATGTGCTAATTATTTATAAAAGTTCTATGCGTTTGAATTAGTTCTGAAAAATATAAGAAATAGTATAATATATAAATAATTTTGAAATTAAATTTAAAGTTTTAATTTTGAAGAATAATATATTTAAATTTCAAATATAATTTTACAAATTTTAAAATAAACTTTTTGTAGATTTATACTATTCACATAATCAATAGTACTATTTGCTATAGTGAAATATTGCGGCGACGGCCTTTTGGTACAGATTTATTGTGCTCTTAAAAAACTTATTTAAAAGTGTAACTCGACTACAGCAGACAAAAATATTTAATATTATATATTTTTGAAATAAAAACATCATTATCTACATAATTAATCACATTTTAACCAATAAAAATAAAATAATATATAAAATTTATAAATTTTATATTAAAATTATAAAAATATGTATATTTTGAAACGAAAAATTTTACTCTACGGCGACAATTAAATTGAAATGGAGTTAGTAAAATATAGGAGAAAAATGAAAAAAAATATTATAGAAAAATTTAAAAATACATATGCACATTTCATAACATATTATATTTGGCGTTCATGACTTAGTTCATTTTTAAAAATAAACTTTATTATATAAATCAAAAGAATAAAAATTTATTAAAAATATTCTGAATAGTTTTCATGGATACTCCAACTAAATTACTAAAACAAGAGTTCGCATCAAACAGTTAATTTATAATTCGACAACCTCTAATACTCACACTGCAGACAATGTGAGCTTGAAGAAAACTATAATTTGAGAATTTTGTGTGACACCTATTCTCTTCCATGAACCGTCGCTCTCTAACGGCGTTAGCTGCACCGTAACAGCACCGCTCGAGAACGACGGAAAGGGAAAGGCTTTATCTCTCTGCGGCAGTTTCACCTCTCTCCTCAACCAAAACGCTAACGCAACTACTGCCATGCCGCATGGAACCGGCGGGTTTGGAATCGGACTCGGGCCGGGTTTTGATGACGTCAGATTTGGACTTGGGAGAGCGGTTTGGCCGTTTTCAACTGTTGGTGACATTGCAACGACGACGAATGTAGGGAGCAGCAACGCCGGTGGGTTCTTCCCCGGTGAGTACTTTGCGTGGCCGGACCTCTCCATCACAAAGCCAGTGAGAGCACTCAAATGAACTTAAATCTTCTGTCCTTACTAGAGGGTTTGGTTCATTGGCTTTTGTCGGCAGCTTTAGTGATCTCTTAGTCTTAGTGTATCTGGTCGTTTTAGAACTTGTGTAATGAAACTAGAAAACAGAGCAAGGTTGTGGCTTTTTTTAATCTCTACCTTGTTAAATTGGACTCTGTTATTACAGTTCTTGAACAAGTGATTTAGTGTTGAAATGAGGATACTTGTTTAGAGCAGCTCGTAATCTAAACAGTCAGGTCTTGTAAGGAATTGTTCAATTGCTGATGATGATGATCTACACAACATATCAGTCTTTAACCTATGTAATTCATGTTGCACTTGAATTACTTCTGGGTTAGACTGATCCCCAGAGGAGAAAACTTGCGTATTGTTGTTGTTCACTTCAATCCAGCTCAATCCTGGATCTTTGGCAGAAGCTAATCCTCTAATCTTCCTTCTCATCTCTGCAACATCCTCCCATCTCCCTTTCACCGCATAAAGATTCGACAGTAGTATGTATGTTGCAGTGTCTTCTGGATCAAGCCTCAGGATCTGCTCAGCCGCGTATAGTCCCATCTGCAAGTGTTTTGTGTTGACACATGCGCTTAGCAGAGTTCTCCAGAGCTCTGTTTGGTTGTTTCCAGGAAGAGATTCTTGTATCAGTTCCAGTGCCTCGTCTACTAACCCAGCTTTTGATACCAAATTCACCATGCAAGAATAGTGCTTGAACCCTGCTCTGATGCCTCTTTCTTTCATTTGGTTCCACAGGAACTTACCTTGCTGAGTTGATCCGCTGTGGCTGCAGGCTGCGAGTAAAGATAAGTACGTTACTGCATCAGGCGTGACACCGTTTTGTAGGATCTGTTCAACGAAACTCAGAGACTTTTCTAACATTCCATGCTGACAATAAGCTCCTAGCATTGAGTTCCAACATTTCAAATCTGGATTTGAAACAAGAGAGAATACTGATTCTGCAACATCACATTTCCCGGTTTTCCCATACATGTCTACTAGGGCTCCACATACGGACATAACACTATCGAATCCTGTCTTTACGGCAAGAGAATGAAACGCTTCACCTTGTCTTAGCAATGCCATGTCTGAACATGCTCCTAAGACACTGCTCAGGGAAAAACCATCAGTTCTATTGTTTTCTCTGTACATTTCAACAAAGAATTGGACAGCACACTCGCTGTTTCCTAGTCTTGTATGCCCTACTATCATCTCAGTCCACAGAACAAGATCCCTCTCTGTAATCACACCAAACACCTTCTGAGCAGACTCGGGTTCCTCGTTCTTGAAGTACACGGACAAGAGTGTTGTTCCAACAAAAACACTCCTTTCATATCCTAGTTTCATTACCTGTCCATGGAGAAGCTTTCCATGAATGAATCTTTCTGGCTCCCCTGTCGCACATATAACAGCAGAGAAAGTATATTCATCTGGCCTTAGTGTGGACCTCCTCTGTAACATTCCATACATAAGAATCGCTTCCTCTCCGAATCCATTCTCTGCGCAACCCGAGATAATCGAGTTCCATGCAACCAAATTTGGGTTACGAATCCTCTTAAACACAAAGAGTGCTTCTTTCATGTCCCCACAACTACAATACATGTCAAGAAGTGCATTTTCTACTGGGGAATCAGTTAAACAATCCGAGACTATTATCCAGGCATGGGTTAGTTTACCCAGTGAATAGCTTCCCAACTTACTACAAGCGTTCAGAACCATTGAATACGTGAACTGCGTTGGAACAACACCAGACATCAACATGCTTCTAAAGAACACAAGCCCTTCTTCTATCTTATCATTTCTCAAGCTCCCAGATATCATCGTGTTCCAAGTCACCGCATCTCCATCCTTTACACACTCAAACATTCTCCTCGCATATTCTAACTCCCCACAGCTGGAGTACATCCCCAAAACTGATGTCTGGACAACTAAATTGTCTAAAAAACCAAGCTTTATAATCTGCGAATGTAACGATGACCCCATCAAGACATCCTCAAGTAAAGCGCAAACCTGCACTAAGCTAGTGAAAGTTGAGCTGTTGGGCTTCAAAGACTCAGATTCCATATGGGTTATGAGACCAAATGCGTAACTTGCGTAGCTTTGGTTCCGGGAATACGCTGAGTAGAGCGCATTGTAAGAAACCACGTTTCTCTGAGGCATTGTGTCGAACACTTTCCGCGCTTGTTCTAGAGAGCCGCATCTCACGTACATAGAGATGAGGTTGTTGCTTGTATACGGAGATTCGTAAGCTGCGCCGGCGGTGAGGATGAGAGCGTGGAGCTGACGCGCCCGTTTTAGTGCGGTAGTTGAAACGCATTTCCGTGTGAGTTGGACGACGGAGGAAACTAGTTCGGTCAGTGGCATTGGCATAGAAGCTACGTTAACGTAGTGAACTTAAAACGCCGCGTTTTTAATATAGTATCGGTTTATATTAAAATGGCGCGTTTTTGGTCAGCAAACCACGGTGTGTAATCGAACCTCGGGGAAGGTTTTCTGGGGCGAGAGATAACAGTCGTCAGAGAAAATGGGTAGCGGAGGGAGGAACTTCTCGTCTGATCGATCATTGTATCCGAAGCTACGCTGTAGCCTGTAAGTCAAGATACCTAGGACATAAGTTACTGCCACTCCTACGTTATCTCTTCTGTGTATGAGGTTTCAAGTTTAGAGAACTTCTTTGTCGATATATATCTCTGATAAGTTCATCCTTCCTCCGGCTGTTAATGCTTCTGTAACTCCCATTTGTATTTAGAGTTATATTTTATCTTTTTTTTTTTTTTTTCCCACTATTTTTTTTTTCCATCAAGTTGTTTTATAAATGGGTCAAACCCAATCAAATCATACAATAACACCAAACAAAGCCCAAACTTATGGCCAAACACAAAATCCCATACAAAGCCCAACATCAAAGGACCCTAGGAAAACCCTAGTATGTGCGGCGCCTCCGAAGTCGACAGCGGAGAAAACGAATCGAACCACCACCTTCAAACTATAGATCTCGTCGGCATCACACCACCGCTTTCATAATCCTCACCTACACTCTTTTCCATCGGAGAGCATCCATCGAGATCTCATCCGATTCTAAACCAAAGACTCACCACATACCAACAAAGATCTACGAGAACACCCAAACAATTCAAAGCCTACAATCGAAACTTCATCTCCGACATACATGATGCGGTACCAGATGAAGGTTCAAGAGGCTGAATAACAAAGAAGCACAAGCTCATAGATCGAAAAGAACAGGAAAACATCACTGGAACCCAAAGAAACAAAACCGTAAAAAGTGATACTAAAGAAGCTATCACCTCCCGGGAACGCGAGCCGACGATAACGGTGCTGAAGGAGCCACCGCCTCCCGGAAACAAAAGCCGACGATAGCAGAGCTGTAGGAGCCTCCACTTCCCGGAGTCAGAGCCGGCGGCGACGGAGCTATGGAAGCCTCCATCTCCCGGAGTTTAAGAACCCAAAAAAAAAAAACTTGCAAAACTAAATAGATAGAGAAAAAGCCTAAACAAAGGAGAAGCCATGCCGACGGTGGCTAGGGAAGCCCATACCGTCGGCTGGCGGCACTATTCACGACTGAGATCTAGTGAGAAGAGAGAGCGTTTCTTTTAGTTTTACTTGTTTTATGAAAATAGTTATATTTTATCTTTTCCCAAATTGATTGTAGGGTGATCTATTATTTATAGTGCTCTCCTGGACTTGCCTGCCGTATGTACCATTTCAATGTAGATGAAACTGCAAGTAGTGGGACACTGCCTTTCTGCAAACTACTAGCCGGTTTAGTTTATACCAATTGTAAATGTAAATTAAGCGGGTTTAGTTAGGTTTAGTCTGGTATAGCTTTTACTATATATACATGTAAAGTTTACTTTTGTAACTAACGAGATTGAATTTAAAAGATCAGTTTCATACATTTTCTCTCATGATCTTCAATCTCTAATATGGTATCAGAGCTATTAACTGCTCGTTTTCTCTGATTTTCTTCGAATCTCTTCTCATTTCTTCTCTTTTCGTCTCTCTATCATCAAGATCCAGCTGATTTAGAGCTTCGATTGCAGTTACGAATCGGAAAATCATCGCTATCGGTGATTCTTGTTCTTTGATTTCGTTTTCTGTTCACTCTCATCTCGATCTTCTCTATGAGGAAGCAAGGTAGGAAGATGAGGACTCGAAACACTGTTTCTGACATGGAAACCTCTGCGACTCGTAATCAATCGACTCATTCCGTGACTGATGACGACGAACCAGTCATTCCGCCGCAGAATCTTCCAAATCAACGCGTTCCAGCTACATGATCTGGTATACCTCCTATTGATAACACTCATACTCCTTATTTCTTGCATTCGGCAGATCATCCTGGATTGTGCATTGCGAATCAGAAACTAGATGGATCTAACTATAATAACTGGCATATCGCAATGAGGATGAACTTAGATGCTTAGAATAAGCTAGGTTTTGTGGACGGATCCTTAGCTAGGCCACCTGTAGATGATCCTATATTCAAGATTTTGAGTAGGTGTAATAGCATGGTGAAATCGTGGCTGCTTAACACTGTGAATCAAGAGATTTACGATAGTATCTTGTAATATGATGATGCTGTTGAGATGTGGAACGATCTGTACTCAAGATTTCGAGTGAGTAATCTGCCGAGGAAGTATCAGTTGGAGCAATCAATTGCCACCTTAAAACAAGATTCATTGGATCTCTCTACTTACTACACTAAGAAGATGCTATATGTTCAAATAACGAAGCAACTGAATAACTAAATAAAATAAATAGACATTTCTCTTCGTCTCAGGTCGATTGAGAAGGCTCTTTGGGAGGAATTTTCCAACACTAGGATCACCGTTGTAACTGTGATCATGTTAAGGAGTTAATGGAGGAAGTTGAGACAAGCATGATTATTCAGTTTCTCATGGGGCTTAATGAGAGTTTTGGTAATATCCGAGGTCAAATCCTAAACATGAAGCCTCGACCAAGCCTTGCTGAGATATATAATATGCTTGATCAAGATGAGAGTCAGAGATTTGTAGGTTCTTCTCAGAGGGCCACGAGTCACCCTGCTGCTCTTATCTCAAGGAAAATATTATAAGATGAAATGTTCTTACTGCTCAAGAATTGGCCACATGGTTGATAAGTGCTACAAGAAGCATGGTTTTCCTCTGGGAATGTTTAAAGGAAAGAAACCTACAACTGTTGCCTCTGCTAATATGACTCTCTCACAGCTTGTCAACACAACTGAGAAAGATCAGAATGTGGAAAGTTCATGTGATCAGTTCTCCAAAGAACAACTCCAGTCTATGATCTCGTTCTTGAGCTCTCAACTCCAATCTCCTCGTACTACATCCACATCTGCAAAACCTATTGCTTCGACTTCAGCTAGTTCCTCTCTAGTTTCACAAATTACAGTCAGTTGTTGGGCCCAAATATGGCCCGTTAGCTGAAATTAGCAAATCAGTTAACCAAGTCTAATAATGGGCCACGCGTGGGTTATCATCTCGAAGGAGAATACAGCTCACCTAAGGACGGAGGCTGCTTCCAAGGATTTTGATAAAAGAGGTCACGAGAAAGAGGTCACGAGAAAGAGGTCACGAAGAAGAGGTCTAGCTTCTCTCGCAGGAACCTAATAAAACAGGCCAGGATACGAAGATAGAGGCGTATGATTCGGTCAAAAGGAAGCTGTTGCAAATCCCTCAGTTTACGGAGGCAATCTTGGAGACTAATCAGGAGAGGTTAAACGTGACCTGAGACTATTTAAAGGAGGAAGAAATGAAGAGAAGAGGAGCTTCTTCGGACTTTTCAACACCTAAAGATTTAGACACATTTTATTTGTAACCATCTCTGTCAATCATTATTCTTTCGATTAGATCATCAAGATCATCTTTGTAAACCCCTTTTATTATCAAAATCAATATAAACAAACACATTCATTCACATAAGTTCTAACAGGATTCAGCCCACGATTGTCTTTCCCCCAATCTAAACCTAACCTAAACTAGAGAGTGAGTTTGATCCCTCACATTTTGGCGCCGTCTGTGGGGACGAGATAATTGAATCCTTCACTCCGTAACTTGAGAATGGATCCATCCAACCAGGCAACGAGCCCATCCATCCCGGATCCCATGATCCAGATCGACGGCTCACCGAACATGCGAGACCCGGACCCTCATGATCCGGAACCTCGATCCGCTGATCACCGATCCGAGCAACAGACTCCGGCTAATGCTCAACCGAACCGAACTGGGATAGCTAACCCAAGGTCTTCCAGTGGAAACAACACCGGGGTTACGCTCCCTGAGAACCCTCAACGTCAACACGCTCCGCATCATTCGGAAGCTCAGCTATCCGAAATATGCCGAATGATGGTGCAGTTGGTAGAAAGAGCTCAGGATAATGAGCGTACGTTGCAACAGCTAACTGCCCAGCAACAACGGTTCGAAGAAGTGACTAGATCTCTAACCGAGACAACTCATCCGTTGCAACGCAAGGCTCAGGAATCGCCTTCCGAGATCGACTCACCGAACCCACGTTCCCTCGCGGACGCCTGGAATTTTCCCCCAACAGCATTGCTCGTAATGGGCAAGAGCCTGTTCTCCGGACACCCCATACTGGGACAACCCAGTATTTAGTATACATGTAACTAGCGCTATGAGAAGTAACATAGCGACGACCAGCTCTGCACCCAATAGGGTTCACGAACACAGCACACGATTACCGCCTCCGCCACCTATTTTTAGGTCCGGAGAAGGAATGTCTCCCCCTCCTAGGGGTAGAGCACCAACTTCAGCTTACCAAAATGGAAGCACGACCCCTAATCGAGATAACCCGAGGGCGGAAGCTGATCCTACAGCTCACCCCCCAGGTCGCGCCCCTCAAGGTGGCTCTAGAGCTAACGAGCGATTTAACCCACCTAACGCTTGGGATAACGACGACACTAGACTCCATCAAGAATCTTCTCATCAGATTCCTCGCGAAGACTCAACTGTCCTTCCCCTAGAAGGACCTGAGGCTATTCGCCGATAAATGGGGCAAACTCACGCAGCTCTCCAGAAGCTGAACGCTCAAGTGCATAAAGCAACGAGCTCAGCTCCCGAAATCGAGAGCTTGATTGAGGAAACCCGTGGAACCCCATTCACAGATAAAATCGCTAGCTCTTACATAAGAGATACCCGAAAAATTAGGATTCCCGAATATGACGGGACCTCAGACCCCAAGGCTCATTTGAGANTTCACAGATAAAATCGCTAGCTCTTACATAAGAGATACCCGAAAAATTAGGATTCCCGAATATGACGGGACCTCAGACCCCAAGGCTCATTTGAGAGCCTTCCGCTTAGCTATAGTGAAAGCTCACTTCACAA